AACATTTAAAGAAGAACTAATTCCTATTCTCCTGAAACTGTTCCAAAAAATAGAAATGGAAGGAAAACTTCCAAACTCATTTTATGAGGCCAGCATCACCTTGATCCCAAAACCAGACAAGGATCCCATCAAAAAAGAGAACTACAGACCAATATCCTTGATGAACACAGATGCAAAAATTCTCACCAAAATACTAGCCAATAGGATTCAACAGTACATTAAAAGGATTATTCACCACGACCAAGTGGGATTTATTCCAGGGCTGCAAGGTTGGTTCAACATCCGCAAATCAATCAATGTGATACAACACATTAATAAAAGAAAGAACAAGAACCATATGATACTCTCCATAGATGCTGAAAAAGCATTTGACAAAGTACAGCATCCCTTCCTGATCAAAACTCTTCAAAGTGTAGGGATAGAGGGCACATACCTCAATATTATCAAAGCCATCTATGAAAAACCCACCGCAAATATCATTCTCAATGGAGAAAAACTGAAAGCTTTTCCGCTAAGGTCAGGAACACGGCAGGGATGTCCGTTATCACCACTGCTATTCAACATAGTACTAGAAGTCCTAGCTTCAGCAATCAGACAACAAAAGGAAATTAAAGGCATCCAAATCGGCAAAGAAGAAGTCAAACTATCACTCTTCGCAGATGATATGATACTATATGTGGAAAACCCAAAAGACTCCACTCCAAAACTGCTAGAACTTGTACAGGAATTCAGTAAAGTGTCAGGATATAAAATCAATGCCCAGAAATCAGTTGCATTTCTCTACACCAACAAGACAGAAGAAAGAGAAATTAAGGAGTCCATCCCATTTACAATTGCACCCAAAACTATAAGATACCTAGGAATAAATCTAACCAAAGAGATTAAGAATCTATACACAGAAAACTATAAAGTACTCATGAAAGAAATTGAGGAAGACACAAAGAAATGGAAAAATGTTCCATGTTCCTGGATTGGAAGAATAAATATTGTGAAAATGTCTATGCTACCTAAAGCAATCTACACATTTAATGCAATTCCTATCAAAGTACCATCCATTTTTTTCAAAGAAATGGAACAAATAATTCTAAAATTTATATGGAACCAGAAAAGACCTCGAATAGCCAAAGCAATATTGAAAAAGAAAGCCAAGGTTGGTGGCATTACAATTCCAGAAATACATGAAGAGGGGATAGGAAAAAAATGTTCAGAAATAGACCAAATGTTCCAAAACTGGCCCTTTTTCCCTCAGCTTAATACCAGTAAACCCAGATACCACTGGTAGTGACACTAACATGTTTAGTGGTCATGTTAAACTTAAAATGTGAAAAGCAAACTCTTGGGGGCACCTAGCTGGCTAAGTCAGAAGAGCTAGTGAATCTTGATCTCAGGGTCATGAGTTCAAATCCCCTGTTGAGTATAGGGATTACTTAAATAAATAAACTTCTTTTAAAAAGCTTTTAAAAAAAAGATGTGGAAAATAAATTCTTGACACTTCCCCCAAACTTGCCTTCCTCTTAGTCTTCCCCATATTAGCGAATAGCATTACCATCTGGCCACTCAGGCCAGAAACCTAAGACTCAACCTCAAGTCCTTTTTTTTTTTTTTCCCCACAGTCTTGAGGTCTTTTATTTTCTTTACATTTGTCATGCCATGAATTCATAGGGAATGGGTTCCAGCAGTTCGGGCTCGTTTCCATTGGTTCTTCCAAAGTGTGCTTCTCTGGGCGGAGCAGGCTGACGCTTCATTTGTACCCAAGTACCTTTCTCTTTGGCTTCCTTCTTTTTCTGATCATTTTCCTTCACACGCTTCAGGAAGCTATCTTGGCTCTTTGAATGTTTAATATGCTCAATGCGTACATTAATTCTCTTGGCAGGAATCTTTCCCTTAACTTGTTTGTTTACAACAATGCCAACAGCATGCTGAGTAACATTGTAGACTCTTCTGTTTTACCATGGTAACATTTGTGGGGCATTCCCTTTTGAACAGTGCCCATCCCTTGATGTCCACAATATCACCTTTCTTGTAGATTCGCATGTATGTGGCCAAAGGAACAACTCCATGTTTTCCAAAAGGCCTAGAGACCATATAATGGGTACCTCTCCTCTTTCCCTTTGTGTTGGTCATTTTGGCGAATTGCTGGAAGATGGCAGTTCCAGCCAAAAGGCCTCAAGCCTTTTTTTGGGGGAGGGGGGGCTCACTTCTCCCATCTAAACCATTAGCAAGTCCTCTTTGCCCTTCCTTCAAATTATGTTGCAAATCAAATTATTTCTTGCCAGCTTTCTAACTCATCTCCCTTACTCCCAACCCCCCAGTCTATTGTCCATAAGCAAACAGGTATTAAAAAAAAAATGTAATTCAGATTATGTCTCTCCACACTTAAAACCTCTCAGTGACTGCCTATCATTAAAACCCAAATTCCTTACCACATCTCATATTAGTATCTATTGAGTGCTTAGTGGATGCCAGCTACTATGTAAGATGCTTTGCCTATGTTAATTGACGTAATCTTCACAATAGCCTTGTGAGATTGGGAATATTATTAACCTCATTTTACAGATCAAGAGTATAACACAGGTTGGTTAAATAACATCCAGGGGCACCCCAGTGGCCCCAGCGGGCTGAGTGACCAGCTCTTGGTTTCAGCTCAGGTCCTGATCTCAGGGTGGTAAGATCAAGCCCCGCGCTGGACTGCCACTCAATGTGGGGCAGGGACTGTCTGCCTGAGATTCTCCCTCTCCCCTCCCCCCACTTGCACATGCTCTCTCTCTCTCAAGTAAATAAATAAATCTTTAATGCATAAATAACATCCAAATCACATAGCTAGTTAGCAGCTAAGCTGGAATGCAAAGCTGAAGAGTCTGACTCCAGAGCATACAGTCTGGCCCCTTTATCCCAGCCTCATCTTGTCATTTTGCTGACTTGGCTTGTTCTTTAAGCATATCAAGCTTATTTCCATGATGGGATTTTTGCAGTCGCTATTTCTCTGTCTAGAATGTTCTTTCCTCAGATGGTTGGGTGGCCATTGTCATCTCATCATTTAAGTTTCCATTCAGATGTTTTCTCTGAGAGGCCTTCCCTGACCTCTGTCTTTAAAATTCCTTTCCCACATATTTACAGTCACTCTTTTTATTTGTCTCCTTTTTATATTGTTTTTGTAGGAGTATTTATTTAGTAAGTATTTGTTGGATGGATGGATGTTGACTCTTCGTTGAATGTTGCCTAGTATAGTGATTAAGGGTATAGGTTCTGAAATCAGGCTCCTAGGTCCATATCCCAACTCCTGTACTTAACTGTGTAAAGTTGGGCAAGTTGCTTTCTGCCTCAGTTTCCTTATCTGAAAGAAATATTAATACTTCCTAATAGGGTTGTTATTAGAATTAAATAAGTTAACGGTAATGCATGTGAATCTTTTTTTTTTTTTAAGTAGGCTCCACGCCCAGCATGGAGCCCAATGCAGGACTCTAACTCACGACCATGACATCAAGACCTGAGCCAAGATCAAGAATCAGACACTTAACCGACTGAGCCACCCAAGTGCCCATTGCATGTGAATTTCTGAAAATAGGGCATAGAAGGGGCTCCTGGCTGGCTCAATCAGTGAAGCATATGACTCTTGATCCTAGGGTTGTGGGTGTAGAGATTACTTTTTTAAGAAGTGCATAGCATATCAGAACTCAAGACATATTTTTTCTCTTTTATTTATTATTTTCAAGTTTTTGCTATTATTAATATTGAATGAATAGCATGCCAGGAAAGTTCTTTGGAAAATCATATTTTCAGGCCCTACTCCAGACCAGCTGAATCAGAATCTCTGTGGAAAGGGCCCAGGAATCTTTTTTAAAAGATATTCTGGCTTGGGGCATGCATGCATAAATATATATATGTAGATAGATAGATATTTTATATATATATACATATACACACACACACACATCTATATATGTGTGTGTGTGTGTGTGTGTGTGTGTGTGTATGATTTTTTGGCAGTTGTGATAAGCATCCAGGTTTGGGAACTATGGCAGCAGAGTTTTAGCATCACTGCTCAGGTTCAATGTAGACAGGTATGACATGACATCATGCAATGGCATTATACAGTAATTTGTAATTTTGCTAAGTTGTAGAGTGAGAGCAAGTCATTGTGATAAGTGGGTCCAGAAGATCCTCAACCCCCATCCCCATCATCGACATCCTGGTGTAGCCTCATTCTCTGTGTCTTTACTAGTAAGCAGTAAAGCTTAAAGTGACACTAATTTTTGTTTCAGCTTGAAAAATCATCTCAAAAAGGAAACAGGGGTGCCTGGGTGGCTCAGTCAGTTGGGCGTCTGCCTTCAGCTCAGGTCATGATCCCGGGGTTCTAGGATCAAGCCTCGAGTTGTGCTCTATATTCAGCAGGGGAGTCTGCTTCTCCTTCTCCCTCTCCCTATGCCCCTGCTTGTGCTCTCTATCTCTCTCTCTCAAATAAATAAACAAAATCTTAAAAAAAAAACAAAACTGAGAAGTATGATGATGCCAGTAAAGATACTTTTTAAAGTGGTGGTTCTTAATTCGAAACCAGAATGGATAGTTTTGATTATTGATGTATTAGAGTATGGAATGGCAAATTTGTTGCTTGGTTAGCACCATGACGTAAATATTGCCTATGAAATGCTGTCTGTAGGAGCAGAAACTCGTGAAACTATCTTAGCAGTTGCACCAACCAAAATTGGAACCAATGCAAAAATTCTAAGATGTCAGGGAAGTTATATGCCATTGTTACAGTTACAAGTTTGGGTATTAATTTTTTTGTGAATCTCATACTACGTAAACCACGATTGCTGCCTTTCTATAGTTGGAAAGACAAAACCACCACACACAAAACAGGGCCAAATGAGATTAAAGTTTGTAATAAGTAATAGCCCACAAGTGCTGTGAATTTCAGAAGAGAAGATATAAGATGTCAGCTAGGGGGTTCATTGAAACAGTTGTGGCTAGTTAGGACTTACACAAGAAATTTTCTTCAGTTGCAGGACCAGCTCTGCCCCCTAATTATAAAAGCAGTAGCTCGGAGTCCTCAGACAGTGATGAAGACAGTAGTTCGTTGTATGAAGAAAATCAAGAATCTGAAGATGATGACAGTGGTCCAGTGGCAAGGTCGGTCACTTAAATTAAATGATAAACCAAGCTTCAAATCTAGCATACACTGGCTGGAACAGATAGCTAGTCAGAGAACAACATATCTGTATTTTTACAGCAGAAGAAGAAATCCTTTCACACAGCATTGCCTCCTGAACTATGCTGTGGAGAAAGAAATTTATTCTCGTAGCAGATAGCTGTGGAGATACCTAGGATTTTGATTAAATTCTTATAGAAAGGATTTTTCCTGAAAGTATTGCTGCAGTGACTAAATACTCTAAATAAGCAATAGCATTTCTTTTAAAAATTTTTTCTGCAGTGGATGATTTTTGCTTAAGTAAATGAATGACTTCCCTCTAACAATCTTACTTACCATAGATCCATGTAAATAAGAAGTGGAATCTTTGTTTAGTATTGGATTGCAAGGTTTTATTTATGCATTTTAAAGATTACGGACAGAAATAACAAGTTAAAACCCTTCCTGAATGAGATTAAAATGGAGAATCATGAACTTTTTGCTCCAAAATTTTCAGCATGTAAACCTCAGCGAGTGGAATCTTTAATTAACACTGTAGAAAATATAGAAAACTGATAAAGTATTCCCACCAGAGAGAATTAACCAATCTCTATTCTAGACCAAAAATAAATTCCAAGAAAAGGTTAGTATAAGATCTACTGTGGTATCCATTTGCTGTTATTGCACGAGATTAATTTATTGTTAGTATTTATTGTCAGCATTCATACAACTAGTTGGGAGTTAATGCTTCCTTTAAAACTCAAAACTTCTCTGTGAAAAAAATTTGCATAAAGTTGCACTACTGTATTTTTAGAAAACAGAGGAGAAATCAAGATGACGACGACGATGATGATGAAGGGTTTTTTGGACCAGCTCTTCCTCCTGGATTTAAAAAGCAGGATGATTCTCCTCCAAGGTGATAATGTGTGATAGTTCAAGCCTGTCTTTTCTGAATATTTCAGTTGGTGTTTGTTAATTCACTAAAGAGTTGTCCAAAATTGTTGTTTAACTTACAGACTTAGGTAACATTTGAAATGCATAGGGAAAAGTAATTGTCTCCTATAACAAAAATGATCATTTCATTCTGTATAAAAATTTTGTGGTTTATAAAAAAAAAACTTTGCATCTCTTAGGTGATGCTCACAAGAATGTTTTATAGTAGACTGATTGGAACATTATCCTTCTTCCCCCCTTTTTTAAATAGCTAAGGTTGCACACATAGTGAGTGTCCTGTCTGGCCTGGGGCTGGAATCCTGGTATTTGACTTTTAATATCAGATGCTTTTTCAGTTTTTTGGTGATAGAAGAAACAATTCCTGTATGCCACGTTAAATAGTTTGACTGACTTTTCTGTACCTCAAATTTGCCATCTGATAAATAGGATAACAACAAGTACCTTTCAAAATTGTTGCGATGATTGAGATTTCATATTTACATACATATACACATGTGTGTATGTCTCTTACGTGATGCCTGGCCCCAAGTGAGTAGATAGTAAGTATTGATTCCTATCTTCTTCTTGGAATTGTATAATTTTTAAATTATACAATTTATGAATTGTATATGAATATGAAATTGTACACCAAATTGTTTATACTTCAGAGCGTTATTACTCATACACAAGAGCAAATAGAAAGGGCTATTGTACATTTTACTTTCAAACTTTGTAATCACATTCGTCAGCTCTAATTTTCATATTACTTTGGTCTTTTTAGAATTAACAGGGATAAACTCTCCACTGATTTTGTATGGCCCCCAAGTCAGGAATAATCTTTAAAGGGTCACTGAAAAAACAATCATGCCTACAAGTCCCATAGATGGCCTCAAAGCTTAAAATGTCCTCTCTGGCCTTTTACAGAAAATTTGCTGACCACTGGAGCACAACATTCCTTTCAAGAAAACACTTTTTTAGGTGTATAGCAATTTCTTTCTTGAGAGGTGTATTTTGGCTATTAAATGGCCAAGATCAGAATCCAGATCTGCTCCCGGTAGCGTTTTTCCTCTGCCAAGAAGCTTGCCTGTGAGGCTCTAGTTGAACACAGTACAACCTGGAAAATTCAGCTTAAGACTTCAGTGCTGTGTTGGTTGGTAATCCTGGCACAATGACATCTCTGGGAAGAATATTGGTATGAAAGAAAGGATGAAGAAACTGAAAAGCATGAAAGAGAGGAGAAAATATCTTGTCTGTTATTTTTTTCCCTGATGTAAGGCTTTCTCTTGTTTAAGACCCAGATTTTAGGCACTTCTCTCATTTGGAATGATGTGAGTTCCCTCAGAAATGTGGCAGTGGGGCAGCTTGAAAGAAAATGAACTTTGGCATCAAGGAGACCATGGTTTAAACTCTAGTTCCGCCACTTACTTATTTGTGATGTCCTTGGGCATGATTTTGCTAACCTAGAAAATGGAGTGACTTACACCAACCAGGGTTGTTTGACGGAAGCAGAAAGGTGTTCTGGTTGACATGTGGTTAGCACAGCACCTTTTCCCTTGTCTGGAGGTCTCACGTGACTTACATTCATTCTTGTAGACTTAACGTTCATTATTGTAGACTTATGTTCATTTTTGTAGACTTACGTTCATTCTTGTAGACTTAACGTTCATTCTTGCAGACTGACTTTCATTCTTGTAGACTTATGTTCATTCTTGTAGAGCTCCACGTTATTGCTGGATCATTGGTGAGGACAGTGTTCAGATTTTTATACTACCCTGGCACACATAACCATTAATTGCCAACTTCTGTTGTATGCGTGTGCTGTTTACATTCTTAGAACTCAATTTCTACTTAAGGAGTTCTGACTATAATTAGATTGCCCCTGAAGAATGTGTCGGCGGACAATGACAATCAAAAATGAAAGCCAAAGCACAAAATAGAAAAAGATCTTCACAGGCTTTAATTCTTAATAAGGACTTTTTAAAAATTGGTATTTCTATTTAACGTAGTTCTTTTAGGAAGTGGGCATACACCAGTGCCACAAAGATTGGGAATTACTGGTTTAATATCTTAGCATTGGCTAACAAATAGAAAGTAAAAAGGAGAAAATTAGATTTTTTTAAAGATACTGCTAAGTGGAAAAATACTAGGTTATAAAATAAAAATATGTTAAATAAAATTCTTGTTTTCAACATTTTGTTATTATTTGGCTTTTTATTATTATTTGTGAACTTTTATTCTAAAAACTGCTTTTTAAAAGTCAGGGAGAATGCTAAAGGTGCATTTTATTTTTCAGGCCTATAATAGGTCCTGCACTACCACCTGGTTTTATTAAATCTACTCAGAAAAGTGACAAAGGCAGAGATGATCCAGGACAACAAGTATCATCATATTTCAACTCTGAGGTTTGGAAAATTTTTGGCTAAAGAATAAGATGTAGCAAACTCAAGACTTTACAAAGTAATAACTGTATTCATTTGGCTCAAATGTGACGAATATGCAGCCCTGTTCACCTGAATCTAGGATTGTAAAGTAGAGAGATGAAATCCAAAGCTTGTCCCAAAACGGAGATGTTACAAAAATAACAAGACAGTTACATGATGACAAGGATGTTATTTATTCATGCTTCTCATCTTTGAAGGGAAGCTTTAAAGTGCTAGAAAATAGAACATAATGAAAAGTTTAAGGAATCATTGTGATTTGACCTGAAAAAGAGGAAGCTGAGGAATTTGTTGACCATGATCTTTGCCTTGAAATCAGCTCTTACGTATACAGCTATAGTGCTGGTAAATAACAAAGCTGGAGTTAAGTGATGTTATGAAAAGATTGGTCAGATGATTTTAGAGTCAAGTATAAAAGATGTTTTCTTGTTTTGAGGCCTGGTCCTTATCAATAGCTGAGATTTGTAGAGTACTTTATAACTTGTAATGCTCTTTCCCCATCTATGGGTGAGTATTATTTTTATCTTCTCTGCGACCATATGCAATAAATATGATCTGCCATCTTACAGATGCTAAAAAACAGAGAAATTAGGTAATTTACCCAATATTGCAGTTTATACTTATCAAAGCCACAGTTTAAACCCAGTTTTTGTTTTCTTTTGTTTTGTCTACAATTTAAAGTAATCTCTACACTCAATTCAGGCTTGAAGCTACAAGCCCGAAATCAGGAGTGAGTCACTCTACCAGCTGAACCAGCCAGGTGCCCCTTAAGCCCAGTTCTTAAGACTTTAGATCACTTGTTTGGTCTATTATTCTCCAGTAGCTTCCTGTATATTCATCTCTACTGAGAATTCAGCAGTTACACTGAGGTTGTTACTAAGGAAAATAAAATACAGTGGTTAAGACCATGAACTTCAGAGTTGTTTACTCATTCCTTCAACAGATATTTATAGAGCACCTACAATGTATCAAGCACATAGTCACAGAAATGAGTCTGTCAACAAATCCTATTGTCCTGCCTTCAAAAGATATCCACAATCCAACCATTTCTGCAGTCACCCTGGTCTAAGTCAACATCATACTTCCCCTGTTTTGTTGGTCTTGATACTTTATCCCTGGTTTTTCTGCTGCCTCTTCTCAACACAGCCGCTAGAGTGGCCCAGATAAAATGAAGTCAGATCGTGTCACTCACACTCAAAACCATCGGATTGCTCCTCCTGTCTCTGCATAAGAGCCAAGGCCTGGGGCCCCCTCTACAGTCTGGTCTCCTTTAGCTCCCTGATTTCCCCTCTTATTTTAATCTGACCACACTGTGCTCCTTGGTGTTCCTCCTCACATAGGCTGGGGAGGCTCCTACCCCAGAGTGTTGATACCTGTAAGTCTCTCCAAAATGGTCTTCCCCTAGATATCTATGTGGCCTGCCTCCCAGAACAACAGTTTTTGGCTGGAATGTCACCTTAATGAGGTCATTTCTGACCTCCTAATTCAAAATTGCTAACTCCTCTTCCCCTAACTCCTCTTTCCTTCCCTCCTTTAATTTTCTCCAGAGCATCTGTCACCGCCTCAGACACCATTTATTTTACTGCTTCTTTTTATTTATTGATGACCTCTGCCCACTAGAATGTGAGTCTGTTGAGGACAGAGATTTTTGTCTTCTCTCTAGTGGACATTCAGAAGGGTTTGTTGAATGAATGAATAAGTTAGACATAGTCCCAGCTAATCACACCTGCAATGTAGTGGGGAATACAGACACTAAACAAAAATCTAACATTATGAGTGATTCAAAAGATAAAGTGAAATACAGTGGAACCATGACAGACGACTCTAAACTAATCTGAAGAAATGAGAAAAAGTTCTTTGTCTCTGAGAAAATGTCTAAAGATTGATGAGTTGGAGATATCTCAGCAAAGAGGGCAGGAAAGATTGTTCCAGAACATACAGATATCTTCTTTGAAGGCAAAAGAGTGTGGAGAGAGAGAGTTAGGGTTTAAGAAGTCCATTGCAGTTGGGGGAGAAAGAGAGAAGGCAAGAGCCATCAGAGCTTGGAATCCTGGAGGAGCTTAGTTTCACGTCAGTATCGTGCGGGTTGTTTTCCTTATCTCAGAGGGCTGTTGCAAGGATTAAGTCAGAACAGTAGGTTTTCAATTTACAAGATTTCTCATCATTGTCATCATTCTTACCATCTTCACTACTGATGTCATGAGAGTATCTTTGAAAAATTTAGTGTAACTATAAGAAATCTTTCTAGCAAGGTTGCTAAATACGAGAATACATTACCAGAGGAAATACCTCCAGGCACATGGAAGACTGAGCTGGCAGGTCATGCTCGGAGCTCCCTGCCACAAACACAAAGAAATGCCCAGGCAGTGGGGAATAGCAACAAAGTTAATACACAGCTAAGCTCCAAAGAAAGAAAGGGAAGTCTACAGCTGCTAGTGACATTGAGAGAATTCAGAGCTAGAGCAGGAAACACAAGCTTACACAGCAGCGGACCAGGGTGGTTTTAGGGAAGCCAGCCATAAGCCCTAGAGTTGGGCTTGGGGACCAGAGCTGTAGCTTCAGCTGTGCAGGCAGAGGAGAGGGAATTGAAGTCTCTGGATAAAACCCACAGCCTCCAGGTTCCACTCTGCAAAAAAGAGAGTCCTGGAGAAATGTAACTTGCAGCCCTTGGAATGTGGGAAGGAAGTTTCATGCTCTCCATAACCTACTTTCAGATGATTCCCAATATGTCTGTCTGTCTGTCTGCCTCACACAGAGTGGCAAGGGAGTGGGAAAAGAAAGATAAATACGGTAAAATGTTAGCAGCTGATGGATTTGGGTGAGGATACATGAGTGTTAGTTGTGAACTACATTTTCCAGAAAACTTGTTTAAGCATAATTGAGTTTTATTCTTGCTTGAAATTTTGTCCTAACTCACCTAGACAGCAGATTGATAGTTTATATAATTCCCTGGTGGTATCTATTCTATATTTTCTACTTCTCTTAGCAAAGGGTGAGGGGTAATGGTAGGGCAGGGCTTACACCATCGCATACCTGTTGCACTTGGTTGTACTCTTGGTTCTGAATTACTTGCTTTATAATTTCCTTCTAACGAAACCTTTTTCAAAAAACACTTCTTGTTTTCATATTTTACTTTTTCAAAGAGGGGCTTCTCTTAGTCTCTCTCATTCACAACATATACCCCTAAATTAAGACATACGTAATAGTACTAATATTTAGCATTCGTTGAGCACTTTCCATAAGTCTGACACTGCATAGCACAACGTAAACATATATTTACATGACTTAATTATATTCCCAGACCACATAAACTTAATTTAATCGAAACAACAATCCTGGGAAATGTCAGGAAGTGTCAGCCAGAAAGCTTTTAGCTGCAAATAACAGAAAATGCTACTCAACGTGGAACTTTGTCCTAACCTATTTCATTAGCAAATGGGCTGTATATGTAATTGCCTGGGCCATCTATTATCTATATTCCCAAAATAAGGAGAATGTGTTTCATATGTAATAAAAGGTATACAACTAGGGTCATTCTAGGTTGGTTGATTGAGAAGCCTAAATGATATCCGGGACTGCAACTTTTCCCGTCTTTTCTGTCATCTACAGTATGTTCATTCTTCTTAGGGTGACCCTTCATTATACCAGGAAGCTTGTCAAAGTTCTAAGATTCCCACGAACATGCCAATGTTCAGACAGAGGAGGGAATGATCTTACCCTGTGCCCCTTTTGTAGAGGAAGGAACACCTTTCCAGGTTTCCTGTAGACCTGTCCTCAGGTTTCTTTGCCCAGAATTGGATCACATGCCCAAGCCTTGGCCAGTCATTTGGGCAAGAGGAATTCAACCAAATTGACTGACTTATAATTACCAACATTTTCCCCTAGGAGTTAGAGAAGTTCCCAGGTTCCTGAGAAAGGCATGGCCCCTAAGAGGACGAACAAAAACAGGGTTCTCTTAGAGTAGTTACTGGTTGGAGCTGTTATAATCCCCATCTGAAAAGACAAAAAGCCAGAACGCCTGGGTGGCTCAGTCAAACAGCCAGCTCTTGATTTTGGCTCAGCCATGATCCCAGGGTCCTGGGATGGAGCCCCACATCAGGCTCCACGCTTAACAGGGAGTTTGCTTGAGGATTCTCTCTCTCCCTGTGCTCTCCCCTCCACTCCCCCACTGTCTCTGTTTCTCTCTCTCTCTAAAATAAATAAATCTTAAGATACATAAATAAAAGACAAAAAACCAAGGCCTAAAAAGGCTAAATAGCACTCCTGAGGTCACATGCTAATATGATAGCAGATTGAGGCCTTGAAACTAGTTCTAACTGCAGCCCACAGTATAAACCAGTAAGGTATATGATTTCTACCGTATTTCTAGATAAAATAATTCATCTAATTTTAACTCAACCAGGATACCAAAATGATTAGATATCTAGATTGGATTTGGATTATGATTCCAGTTTCTCTTTTTCAGTTTAGTATGTTGGGCCTGATTTTCATTTTGCTCCCTTAGTTTATAACTCCCAACACCCTAAGTGATCTTTATTTCTAAAAATTCCAGGCATCATCCTAACAAGACATGCAAGATGTGCCAAATTCTATCTTTATAAAATCATCTCTTGTTAGATGGAAGTAAAAATAACATTCGCTTATCCCATACTTTAATACTATTTTAATGTCATGCCTCTTATAGTTGTAAAAGTTCATTGTATCTTTTATATTTCCTCATTTTATGTCACCAAGTATTATTTTGTAAGGGCTATAAATATGTTTATAATAATGTTTGACATCAAGGAGCCTACCCTGATAGAGATGAACTATAAACACTTAAGGTTAAACATTAACAATTGAAATTTAAAAAAAAAAATAGAGGAGAGTCTCTAGTATAAGTAGAAAACATACACTGGCCTTTATCTTAGAATATTTTCATCTTAAATACCAGTTTTGTAACCTTGAACAAGTTGTTTAACCTTCCTAAATAGACTTCTCCAAACCTAGGTTTCCTGGAAAAGAAAACAGGAATAATAATGTCTTTTCACAATTGTGTTATATAAGGATCAAATGATGCATTGTATACCAAAGTCCATAGTTAGAGAAAGTGTGTGTGTGTGTGTGTGTGTGTGTGAGAGATATTTAGAGTAAGCCAAGAGATAATATGTAATTATCTGATTGTTTGTACCAAGAGCAATTGCTTTAAGGGTGCAGAGAAGAAACCACAGATACAAAGTTACCACCGAGTAGCTAGTGGGGAAAATGTAAACAACACAAATGAACTTGATCCTGATAATTTTTAAAAAATACAAGCAAGAAGCTGCCCGTCCGAGCTGGAGGACAAATATCTTATTGTTGTTCATCTTAACCTACCTCTTTCTTGAGGCCAAGGACTGCTTGAAGCCCTAGAGTATCTAGATTTTAACACAGAGTCTTATAGACAAACCCTTTATTCAGATGATTTATTGAGAGTAAATTGAATTCACTTATTACAGTACTATTACGTGTTTAGAATCAAGGGAGTGTTTTGGAAACGAAGTTAACTCTTCGGGGCCAGTATTTGTGAGCTGTTGTATAGCATTTATTTCCGTGCACCTTGCTGAGTCATAAAGGCTCATACAGCTTCCAAGAACTTTGTCTTATTCCAAAGAGCTTTTTCTGTACCAGGAACGAAAATGGTTTCAACTTGTGTCATCTCTGACCAACTAGTAGTAATTGCCTGGACTATTACTTTGAGAAGAATTGTGAGGCCACATCTATGTCCATCAGGAAGAAAGCTGAAATCATATAATGAGGTCTGCCATGAACAGGGGAGGGCGGGGACAATGCACATTGAGTGGATTTGTCATCTCTGTATTGTGAACTTTAGGAAGATGAGGAAAAAGTCCTCATTGTTCAATGGTTAGCAATATGTTGTTTGCATTTTTGTTTCAGTGTCTCTGGGTAATCAGTTTCGGCAAAATTTTAAGTAATTTAGGATCATTTTCTGTAACCTGGAGCTCTGTTCCTGGCTTAAAGGTGCTGTCTTATTTCAAAAGGAAACAGATAGCAGTGAAGATGAGGACATTGTTGGACCAATGCCTGCCAAAGGACCAGTTAACTATAGCGTCACAACAGAGTTTGAAAAAAGGGCCCAGCGAATGAAAGAGAAACTGACCAAAGGAGACAATGTAAGTTTTAAAGATACTGTACTCTGAGAGATAGACTAAGTGAATTAAAAATCTAAATTTTAAAAATAGACATGAAAGAAATTATAGGCATGTATGTATATAAGGAAAATTTAGGAGCAAGGTAACCCAGAAGCTGGTAAAGGAAAAGACTGGCAAATTTGCCTATCTAAAAAGTTCTGTATGGCAAAAGGTAACAAAATCCAAAAAATGATAAATTAGATGAAGGTATTTATAACGTATATGACAAAGTATCAATTCTTTATATTAAATTCTTTCTCTTAAAGTATATTTTTTAACCTTAAAGCCTCAATTGAAAAACATGGCCATTTATAGAGAATTTTAAACACACACACACACACACACACA